ATTAACGGACAAAAAAAATAATAAACTGTTTAAAACAACAACAATACAAATAGATTGGTACATCACTTGTACCATTACCAACATAATTAAGCAAATTTGTGTTTCCCGAATGTCCATAATCATTTGCAAATAGAATCACAAATTTGTCATTTGAACTACAGCTCTTCTGCGCTTAAAAGTATAAATAAATAAATACAAATGTGACATATGGACTTAAAGGATTATTACACTTCCGGAATTAAAAATTCTGATAATTTACTCACCCTTTGCCTCCACAAATTTCTATCTTTCTTCAGCCGAAATTATATTAAGATTTTTGAGTTCTATGGTGCTAAGTGGTTTGAACTTCTAACTTCTGTGCAGCTTCAAATGACTCGGAATGATCCTGGCCAAGGAATAAGGGTATTACAGCGAAATGTTAGTTTTCTTTAAATAAAAAATAAATAAAAAATGCCCACCTATATATTTTTTTTACCACATAAGATTGCATCACAGAGCTATAGAGCCAGAAGGTGCTATTGTTAAAAAAACTACACAATTTTATTTTGTTTTCTTTATTCATATTCCCATTTAATCCTATTTATTTATGTATTTATTCATTTTGAGAACATAGACAGCCATCTTACTAGATAAGTCCATTATTCCTTAGCAGAGATCATTTACTGCCTTTGAAACCTTAGAAGTCCAATATGGACAAATGTTTTCCACCAAAAACAAAAATAAAATTCCATTACTTTTTGACTGAAGAAAGAAATGAACATCTTGAAGGACACGAGAGAGAGTAAGTGATCAGCAAATGTTCATTCTGGAAGTGAATTAATCATTCAGATAGATCATGAACATGGTGATTAAACATATACAGTAGCTGATGTGAAGTACAATGTAGATCTTGTACTAATCAAGCTCTTACTAAAAACTTCCTGGGTGAGTTGAAGCAAGTTGGCACTAAACTCAGCAGGATACCGGCACTCCAGGACCGAGTTTGGACACCCCTGCTTTAGAGAGTGCATGTATGCACGTTCCCTTTATTATGAAGGAACCCAAAGTGACAAAAGAACTAGCACTATAAAACAAAATGAAAAAATAAATTATGACATCCCAGCAGACACAAAATCATAAGACATTAATTTTAGGTTAGATTTAGGTCGCCAGCATCTGAGAACAATTTTCTTTTGACGTTCAATAACAACATAAAATGATATTGATATCATTGATATCACATCGTAAACCAGCGTCATATTAACGTCAAATACTGACATTAATTCGTGAGGTATGGCAACCAAAATCCAACGTCCGATAGATGTCATATTGGTAACGTCCACATAACATCAAGCTGTAACATCATTAGACCTTGATATTTTGTTGTTTTTAGGTTGCCTTAGAAAGTAACCAAAAAGCAACATCTGTCCGACGTTGGACATTGACATCGAACTGACGTTGGGTTCTGACGTCAACCGGATTTTCATTGCCAAACAAAAGGCAACGTCCCATGACGTTGGGGTACAACGTTAAGCTGAAGTCATGTTGACATCCTGTGCAGGCTGTGATCATTTTAATTTTTGGGTGAATTAAAAGTCTCTGAAGATTTGATGAGTTTATGGTTGCACTTTACAGTGCATGTACCATGAAATGGCCATTCCTTTAAAAAAATCTATTTTATTGGAGTTGTGTAGAGACAAGTAAACCTAGACCAGGTTTTATCTCTGGACATAGTATAAGTTATCACAGTCCCACAGTTAACAGCAATTCCAGACTGAAACCATTCTGAACCTTCTGCATAGTCCCTTTGAGAGGGGAACAAGATATGGGAGCTTCTGTCAAATTGAAAACGGCTCAAGCAGAGACTTGTGCTGCTGTCCCTTCAAGTCCCAGTCCTGCGAATCTATTAGTGGTGCCTCAGATCTGTCTGGGTAGTGTGGCTGCTCTCACTGGATCAGCGGACGCTCCTGTGGGCCACCCGGCATTTTAATGAAATACCTGAAAAGTCCATTTTCAGATCTCGTCTCTGTCCTCTCTCAGCCATTAATTACAGCACCACAGGCAGAGGGGATTCAAGAAGTGTTTTAAAATGGAAATCTTTAAACAAATGGGTTGACAGAAAAATCTTGTGGTGCTGAAAAACGGGGACTTCTCATGCATAATTGAGTGCGCCAGATTGTCCCTAATTTGCTGTTACATTTGGAGAGGTTAATAAAAGATGCTTTGCAATGTGTCTCAAATTCAACTAGTCGCAATTCGGCATTTTATGGCATCGTTGTAGAACACGCATAATTTTGTCAGATTTTAATGGATTTTAAAGGACTTGTAACCTTGTCTACTGATATCCTGGTAATTTTATCTTTAGTATAATTAAGTCTATAATTAGTTTTAATGGAAAACAATTTGAAATTCATGTGGACATTAAGGATCATTTTCACCTGTTTGGTACATTGTTTCGGGGTCATAAGTAGTTTCATTCTCATTATTATTTTAAAAATGTGGTCTTGCAGAGTGCATATAAAATGCAAGATGTCATTTGAGCTCTAATTTAATGTTCCAGAAATTGTTAAAGCCAAGTAATTTGTTCCCCAGCTCTCAAGAAGGAGTGACTCGGCTGCAGTTTGTAATCCAATCCTCAGCCCTCTTAAATCTTCTTATGAGAAGAGAGCATGGCGGAGCATCTTGCTCAGGTAGGGACTGTTTCCTCAAAACTCATTTCACGTGTGGCTAAAACAGCAAATGGAATTTGTCCACCCTATAAAATGTGCCACCTCATTTAATTTAATAGTGCCATTCAGTAACCTGATGCTATTTTAGCCTCACAATCGACCAGCTACGGTGGCCTTGTACCCTTGTCAGTCAAGACCTGAAATTATCCCCCAGTCTGCGTTTTTCCTGATAAACAAGTTCAACACACAACAAAAGGATTTTTCTTGAATCATCATTCTTGGATGACACTTCAGCCGTTGCTCATGGCAGACCTGTTTGCATCAGCAATGAAGGAGACGAGTAATCTGACATCCAGTGAGTTGTGTTGCTCATCCAGAATCCTAAACAGAAAACAGACAGCCTGAAGGAAGCTAGTAAGAGCAGCAAAGTTTGCAGATGTATTTGCAATACATCTTAGCATTCAACAGTAAGTAAATAGATTTTATGAGTAGCTATTCTATTCTAAAATGACTATAAACCTACCTGTGTGTGTGTGTGTGTGTGTGTGTGTGTGTGTGTGTGTGTTTAATTTATATATATATATATATATATATATATATATATATATATATATATATATATATATATATATATATATATATATATATATATATATATACACTGTAAACGATTTCTTGTTAAATTAACAGTAAGTTACTGGCAACAATTATCCAGTAGCTGCTGTATTTTATAAAACAGTAACATTACTGTAATACTAATTACATTAGTATTACATTTATTGTCAAATGTAATACATCATTTTACTGTTTTCTTTTTTACTGTAACACCAATTACAGTAGTGATACACATACTGCAAAACTGAAAACAGTATTTTACTGTACATTTTTACCATGCAGAACTACGGTATTTTAACGTTACTTTCATTATTACTGTATAGTATTTTACAGTTATTAAATGTTATTTTATTGTATTTATTAGTGCTACTTTATAATGAGTAAAAATGTAAAAAAATTGCACAGTGATATTTTAACTGTTCAAGAAATACAAGAAAAATAAAGAAACTGAAACTTTAACTTCACAATAAAAGTTTATTGTGTAAACCCTACTGAAACAGTAGCAATTATTCAATATAACAAAGCAACAGAACACTAATGAACAATTGATAATTACAACCAGTCAACAATAAATGCATCAAAAATTATTCCAATTTTAAAAACAGGTGAAAATACTGCTACAAGACAGGAAATGATGAAGGCCAAATGCTGTTGTGGAAAAGGGACAGTGAAAAAAGGGCAGCAGCATGATGACGATCCTGCAAAAATGACAAGCAAAATCAATCACTGGAGAACAAACTAATCATGCCTCAAATTATTTCATTCATTCAGAAACCAAACACCGCACTGCTGTTTTATATATATATAAAACACTGTTTTTTATAGTTTTTGTTGGCGAAATAGTTTGTTGTCAATTTACAATTACAGTAACGTTAATGGGGAAAAGATCAGTCAAGTCAAAACTAGTCAAGTATCCACACAGGTATATAAAAAATAAAATCTCATCTTAACTGAATATCTGACTCTGTATAGCTTGAATATCTGATTCCATGATTACTCTACTAGCGCTTCCACGGATTTAAGAGGGGTGAACACAGTTTATTCTGACCTTAAGAGGCTACATATTTAAAATAAATAAATAAAATAATCTATTTTAATGTGACTAATGTTAATCAAATACTTTTAAGCTTTTAACACATATAAATCCACTTCTAACTTACAGACGAGATTGCGTTAGAGAACATGAAAGCCCTAGGTGATTTTTTTAAATAATGCTAATGATAAGTTACTGACATTTGGTTCGCATAAAACAAAGTAATCACTAAGCACTCATTTTTGGCAAAATCAGCCGAGGCGCAGCGACACGACAAAATGTGTTAAAGTTGAGCAGAGAACTGAAGAGTAGTCAAGCAGTCTACTTCATGAAATGTTTGTGGTAATATTCTGCGATCAATTCGTATTATTGTATTTCAATATGCAGTGATGGCATGTCAGTGAGACAAATAAATCTTTTAGAGTTATTTTGTTCAATTTTTTTTCTTTTTTTTTTTATACGAACACCTCTCCAGTGACATTTCCTCAAATTAAATCATCATGGCGTTACTGTGCACAGCATCAGTAAAACCTTAAGAATAATTTAAATACCTATTTTTTTTAAAACAGTCACTGCTGATTACAAACTAACATTAAAGAAGGATTACAGAAATCCTGAATGCATGACAATATAAAGATGTATTACTCACTGATGTTGAAGCACTTCCAGGTCGTCAGAGATGTAGACAGAATATGTGCCATCAAATGAGCTCTTGTGCAGCCTTTGTTGGACATCAAGGTAGTATGTTCACCCACACTGTAAATAAAAAAAAATCTGTTATTTTACCATTTTTTTTCCAGCAGCTAGTGTAACAGAGTCATTTGGTTAGGTCAAGTGGTTTAAAATAATTTTATTTATTAAATACTTGCCTACCCATATATAGATGTAAAAGTAACCAAAATAAAAATTTTATTAAAATGTGTGGGATACTAAGCATGTTTGGTCAACAGAGAGAAGTAAACGTTTACTTTAAGCATTGATCCTAATGAATCTATTTCTGAACTACCGGTACATCCAACCTTGCCTTGGAAACAGCATTTTTGAGCATTTAGATCAGGGGTGTTCAACCCTGTTCCTGGAGATCTACCTTTCCGCAAAGCTCACCTGGAACCTTGATCAAACACACCAGTCTTTAATTACCAAGTTCTCCTTCAGATACTATTTAGTTGGTTTAGTTGTGTTTGATCAGGGTCGATCTCCAGGAACAGGGTTGAGCACCCCTGTTTAAGACAATAATAAATAAGACATGTAGATGATATTTTATATTCAATCATTTATTGTGCAATTTAAATGACTTCTATTCAATATATACATAAAATAAAATTAGAATAAGAATAAAAAAATAATACTCTATGCCAAATAAAATACTTCAGATCTAAATAAAGCAGGTGTTTTTACCTAAAGGTTCCTTTCCTCCAGTTAGTTTAGCTGCAGATTCCTCCACATCTGTGCTTTATTTGGTTCTTGACTTAGGAGTAACTGGTGTCGCATTCCAGGTCCATCACAATCTGAGCTAGAAGGACAATATGACAAAAGACAAGACACGTATAAATAAAACAAAAAAAACAAACACGCCCAATAAAATTGCTAATAAATACAATGACTACAGTTATAGTAAAAAATATGTGTCTAATTTTTACTCAGCATTTGATAGCCAAACAGCCTAGCCATGGTTGTTTTATTAATTTATTCATTTTCTTTTCAGATTAGTCCCTTTTTTAATTTGGGGTCGCCACAGCGGAATGAACTTATACAGCATTTGTTTTATGCATCAGATGACCTTCCATCTGCATCCACACACACTCATACACTACAGACAATTTAACCTACTCAAATCACCTGTACCACATGTCTTTGGACTGTGGGGGAAACCGGAGCACCTGGAGGAAACCCACGCGAACGCAGGGAGAACATGCAAACTCCATACAGAAACGCCAACTGACCCAGCCGAGGCTCGAACCAGCAACCTTCTTGCTGTGAGGCAACAGCACTACCTACTGTGCCACTGCGTCGCTACTGGAAGAAGAAAAATAGGTTGTACATGAAACTCCTCACAACAAATCTGTGAACAACTTGATATTTCAAAATCTACAAAATGAGGAAGACATCAACATTACCTTAAATAATCAAGTGAGGAGAGATTGGTAGCATCACTTTTTCAACATCAATTGCTGTAGCTGCAAAAAAGATACATATAATAATAGTAAAATAAGACTTAACATTTAATAATCTAAATTTATGGTACAACCATACCAATCTGTGTGGGGTTAAAATAAATTTGTATATAAATCATTCCTTACACCTGAACACCAAAAATAAAATGTACAATTAATGACGCACTATACAATGAGCTCATTAACCAGTGAGAAATAGACAATTAATATGAATTATGTTTATATTAACGTTAGCTTAAAATACATCAACTGAATTTTATTATCAGCTCAATTTAATAAAACAGTTTAGACTTGTTTCATTGTGAGTTTAGTTTAAATAACTAACTTACAGTTTACAAATTTAACCATAATGATAACTTAGTCATAATGACCACGTGAAGACCAGAGCTTACCTTAACGTTAAACGTTTAACTTTTCATGGTGACTTTGCCTTCATCTCAGTGTTGTGCTGAAATAGAGAATGCAGTTAACAACACTAAGTAAAAGTTACGTTTTTTATCAGGTAACGTTACTATGGTCAAAAACTCACTCAATATAAACTCACTCTATGTTACGTTATCTAATAGTTAACGTACTTCGCAAACACTACAATCACGGTCTGGCGTCGAATTACGTGACATAAGAACCTACAACTAAGTTAACTTGGTTAACTATTTTAAATTACACACACTACACAGAAATATACACAAAACAATCATTTAACGGACATAATTTGACATTGAAACACTTACCGAGGATGAATTCACTGGAAGAAAAGGCGACAGGTGGATTTCAAATAAGGAGAGCCGTTGCTTGCCTGTTGAAGGTCGAATCGAGTCAGCTCGGTTCTATGAATCGGCTCCTTAGAACAGTAAAGAGTCGAATCCGCCTAAAACCGATTCCTTTTAGTATATTATTGTAAGACACAACAATGAATCATTACTATTTCGTTATACGGCTCAGCCATACGCATTTATACACTAAGTGCATATTGCTGAATATGCTTGTGAACACGTGTGATAAAATAATTCAAGCATAAACCGAGCAAACGGTCCCAGATAGCAAATTACATCTGGCCCAGATATGGCCCACATCCCCCATTTTCTTCTGGCCCACATACCGCGCGGAATGACGGCGATGACTCAACCTGATTGTGGCTGACATAAGGATCCAAAAGTCAGCCACAACTGAACCAGATCTGGGCCATATCTCAGAAAAAGCATGGTCCATATCTGGGCCAGATGTGGCCCATACATTTTCTCAGATCTGGCCCAGCTGCGGCCCATGCACATTCTCAAATCTGGCCCAGCTGCGGCCCATGCACTTTCTCAGATCTGGCCCACATGCAGCCCATGCAGTTTCTCATATCTGGCCCAGACGCGGCCCATGCAATTTCACAGATCTGGTTCAGTTGCGGCTGACTTTTGGGTTAGATGTGGCTGACATCTACATTTGGTAGCTATATAAATCACATTAAAAGGAATGCTTAGTTTAAATTGCTTTATTTAAAAAAATGCTTTAAAAGAAGCATATAAATTGATAAATACAAATATAGAAATTATATAAATAGATGCATACAAAAAAAACAACAACAGATTGATCAATGCAATACAAATAAATATATGAATTAGATAAATAAATGCATACAGAATTATCACAAATTAAATGCAAATAAATATATATAAAAGTTAAAATTAGGTAAGTGGATATACAGAATAAGAAGAACATACAAACACAAATGTATATACAAATTAGATAAATAGATACAGAAAAAAAACACAGAAAATATATATATATTTTTTTATAAAATGCATATTAATTAAATTAACAAATATTTTATAACCATATAGCCAGAACCAATAATTAAAGAGATAAATAAAGGGCAATCCAAAAACAAGATCAGAGGCGAGGCAGGGGTCAAATAAACAAATGATAATTACAGAAACAAGATAAACAAGTATGAGTAGACAGAACAAACACAGAAATTGCATATTTAACAAAAATATATTACTTAAATAATTACAACTAAATATTTATTAGCATTTACCTAGAACCAAAAAAATATATAAAAAATTTAAATTAAATAAACTGAAAATCCAACAGGGCAGTCCAAGAGTGAGGTCAGGGTCGAGCAAGGTTAAAGCCAAAAAAAAAAAAACAGTCCAATGCAAAAAAAATCCTGAAAATAGGAGAAGACAACAATTAAAAGGTGCTGTTTGCAGAGTACATACAGGTAAAACTGGATTAAAATTAAGGACTTAAGCACTTTTTTAAGCACCTATTTTTATTTTTAAGACAAAGCAACGTATTGAACACCTGAAATGTATTCTCAGCAATACATAAAAACATTCCATAGGAACTACCTATCAATTTATTAAAAAAATAATAATAATATTAATATAATATTTCATAGTATTAAACCTATTTTAAATGTGATTGTGAAATTATTGTTTTTTTATGTTTTCGTAGATGGAAAGAGAACTGAAAATTAAATTACATTAAATTAAAGGACTAGAAATACTATTACATTGCTAAAATAAAACAAATTTTAGTAAATAATACTAATACAGAGTAAAAGAACATGGTACTATTTTAATTAGTTACATTTGGAAAAAAAATCGGATTTTCATTACGGACCTTTTTTTAAGTGTAAACTTGTTTGAATGGTTTAATTGTTTAATTACAAGACTACATAAAAAGAAATTTGCACTAACAAAGGAAGTTTATTTTAAGGAAATATATTTTCAAGTTTAGGAAGGTTTTACGTATATGATGAAAAGATGTAAAAATTTAAAATGTAGCCTTTTATTTACACATTTTACACGGTTTTTCTTGTTTGCTCAGTCTGTGTCTGCCTTTACAATCTGGCAAATTTGTTGCTTAAATAACTTTTATAGTACTTGGATTTTTTTTACATAATTATAAACAAATGACTTTACAAAAAAAATTTATTTTTAAAAATAATAAAACGAATGACTTCATTTCATTTGAGGTATTTGAAATATTTTTTTACATTTTCTACATTTTTTAAAGAGCCTTATTGTTTATTTTGATAAATGTAATAACAGATTGCTTTGACCTGTAATGCCTGTACAATTTAGTGATGCTTTAAGACAGACTATGTATAAATCATACAAATACCTCATTCAAAAACGTTTCCAGCATACCAACCCCGTGACGTCAGACACAGCAATATTACAAGATGGGGATGCCTTTGTGCTAAAAGCTTTAGTTAAACATGCCCTTTTCATCAAAATTGTTACATTAATCAAGTTTGGTTATTATATTTTTATTAAATCAGAAAGCAATTTACGAAATAATGTAAACTTGATTGACTGCATCACTTCTACTACAAGACACTGGGAAGAATTTTTGCTAGGAAGATCTGACACTCACTGACAAGTTTACTCCATCAATTCATAGTCTGAAATCTTGGTAATTAGTGAAAGTACCTTTGAACTGACCGCAGATCTTGATGTGGTCTTTCTTGATCTGGTCTTCTCCACTTTCGATCCTTCCCTGGGTTCATCTTTACAAGGAACCTGCTGAATGGAAAAAAAATACTTAGTGATAAAACCTGGACTATATCATGCTCTAAAATATTTTAAATAAAAGCAGCGTAACAAGACAAGCTAGTGGTGGAGGTTTGCTAGAAAAATCTGTGAGAGAGGATGTTGTGTGTGAGTCAGACTGAGACAGACTGTTGTATGAATGTGTGTTTTTAAGTGTATGAATGTGAGAATGCATTCACAAGAGTGTGTGTTAGTTTGAGGATTTTGCTATTTTAAATATTAGGGTCCAACAGAGTCATTTGTTTAGTTAAGTTGTTTAAAATTATTTTCATTGATTAAATACTTGCCCATATATAGATGTAAAGAATAACCAAAAGAAATAATGTATTAAAATGTCATTATATTTTATATTCAATCTGCAAATCATTTGTTGTGAAATTTGAATGACTTCCATTCAGTATATGAATAAAATAAAATTAGAATAAGAATAAAACAATAGAACTCTATAAAAAAATACTTCCTATCAAAATAAAGCAGGTGCTTTTACCTAAAGGAACTTTATTAGTATGGTTCCCTGCTTCCAGTTAGTTCAACTTCAGATACCTCCATAATCTGTACTCTGGTGCTTCATTTGGTTCTTGACTTTAGAGTAACTGGTGTCGCATTCCCGTCCATCACAATCTTAGCTAGAAGGACAATATGACAAAAGACAAGACAAATATGAATACACATAACATACAGAATAAAACATTTAAAGATATAGTTTACTATTCTGCCACCATGTATTCATCCTCTACTTGTTTCAAAGCAGTTTGAATCTGTTAAACACTAAAGCAGATATTTTGAAGAATGTTAGAATCCTGTAACTATTGATATACCTAGTAGGAAAAACTGGGTTTGTGTTCATTCATTTTCTTTTTAGCTTCCTCCCTTTATTAATCTGGGGTCACCACAGTGGAATGAACAGCCAACTTATCCAGCATATGTTTTACGCAGCAGATACTATTCCAGCTACCACATATCACTGGGAAAAACCCATACACTCTCATTTACACACATTCACTATGGACAATTTAGCTTACCCAATTCACCTGTACCGCATGTCTTGTGGGGGAAACCGGAGCACCCGGAGGAGACCCACGCCAACACGTGGAGAACATACAAACTTCACACAGAAATGCCAACTGACCCAGCCGATGCTCGAACCAGAAACATTTTTGCTGGGAGGCAACAGAGCTATCCACTGTACCACCGCACCGTCTGAGTTTATGTTCAAAAGAACAAAAAAAACAATTTTGAAACAAGTGGAGGATAAAAGATGTCATTATTATGTCATTATTAGATTTTTTAAATAAGCTATGACCTCACACAGTGATAAAAAAGCAGCAATAAATCTTGTAATATTTTAATAATAAATAAAACATAAAATATATTATTTCAGTACCCAACAACCAGTCTGACATATACAAGTTACAAAATATGTACAATATTGTACCTGGTGTGCTTGATGATGAAGTCAAACAATTAGTAATGCACTGATGTGAGAGTTGTCCTTTCCTTCAGCTTGCATCCTTGCATGATTCCTTTCTTTTCTGTAACAAATTAATACAATACAATCAATTTATAAAAATATTATTTTTACTTGCCACAAAACCATTTGTTTGTACTTGATACATATGTACAAGATTAATGGTGCAATTCAGTTTCCAGGCTGTTTTGAAATAATATAAAACATAAGATATGGATTTTAAGCTTTTTTAACACAATTGATTTTATTTTTTAACAAGGTTTAATATTTCATAACACACTTAGCCTTCTTTTTTTAGCTTATTAATTTCCTTCATAAGTCATTTAACACATCATGTTTCATCTGTGGATTTTTTTTCAAACGTTTTGGCTTTAAAACATTTTTTAATGCAGACCAGTCTCAACAGTGGCCAGCATGAACCACATAACGTTACTCTGCAAACTTTTGCTGAAACATGATAAAACACACATTAACAAGCAAATCAAGATCATTAGGATTAACGTTACCAAAAAGAGACTGTTCGTTCAGTGTTTGAGCTTAAAACCAGTAACAAAAGCAGAACTCGGCACCTATTACAACTGTATAAAACGGACAGCATATGATTCATTCATTCAAGCTCCCGTTTCGACGCTGTTCTTCATATAACACGTCTTATTGATCATTTCAATTGTAACTTAAATGAATTTGTTGAAACCCCGAGCACAATCAACTTATCAGATTAACGTTACTGAATTGACGGCGGCCATCATTCTTAGCCGTTTTTAGCCATATTATCCACATTTAAGTTACAGTTTTATCACTATACAAAACAGGGGCTTTTCTAACAAATAAAAACATTACCTGACGACAAATATCTCACAAATATGATTTTAAAATAATAACTTACCCGATATAAAGAAGAAGATGAAATGGCGGACTTGACTTCACTTCCTCGTTTGAAAAAAATAACCGTCATTTACGAGGCTCCGCCCACTCCACCGTAATGCAAGGATGAAGCGAAACACATATTCGCCACCAGGGGGCAGTTTATGATTATGTTTTTAAATATATATATATATATATATATATATATATATATATATATAATATTATATATATTAGGGTAAGGGTAATTAGGCAAGTTATTTTATAAAAATGACTTGTTCTGAAACTGTAGAAAAAATATATAGCTTAAAGGGTTTAATAATTTTGACCTTGAAACACTTTTAAAAAAAAATAAAAAACTGCTTTTATTCTAGTCGAAGACTTTCTCCAGAAGAAAAAATATTATCAGACATACTGTGAACATGTCCTTGCTCTGTTATGTAACATGCTGTAATTCTAGAATATTTACTGTTATTTTTAATATTCAGTAGCTTGTTATATAAAAACTATAACACTTATATTTACAATTAACTAATTGCTAATTAACATGCTTATAAATAGCATATTGTCTATCAAATTTGTTGACACTGTTACAGGTGCACACACACAGAACCAGGATAGACTTTTGGGCCTTTCTATGTTGAGTTTGCATGTTGTTTCTGTTGGTTTCCAGTTTCTTCCATAGTGCAAAAATTTGCAGTATAAGTGAATTTTGGATAAACTAAATTTGCTGTAGTTTGTGATTAAGATAATGTGTGGTGTTTCCCAGCACTGAGGATTGTACCCTCAGGGCTGTGTTGCAGAAGCATTAGTATCTGATTGCAGACTTGCATATGCAAGCTGAGACACACAGTTTGACATGCAATGTCAGAAACAATGCACTCAAATAGAGCTAGTGACATCAAAGTGAGGGGTAGGGTTAGGAGCGGGGTTAGGTGTGTGCATTAAAATTGGTCAGATTTATTTTTATTATTTTTTGTGTTCTGTAGAATAAGTAAATAAAACTTTGTGTTGTTTACAAAGATCAGCTTATTCACGAACACATTCATGTTATTCACATTCTACTGCTCAGTTCTCTGACATTTTATCTATATAGTTATTTTATTCATAAACAAAACATTTATGTGTATTTAATATTTAGATTAAATAAAAAAAGAACAATGTTGTATGTGGCATTTAATAAAAAAAATCATTATAAAAATGTAGAATTGCAAATTATATATAACACCAAGAAAACAGCACTTTAATTCAGCATTATTAGATTATGAATTCATTTGTAAAATTGTTCATTAAAAAGTAGTACTAATAGCAAATTAAATCCACCCAGTAGGTGGCGGTAGGACAATGTCTTAATTCATTCAAATGGAAAAACTGAACAAAACATTAATAGATCAAAACATAATAAATGATGAAACTCATTGCATTTATAGACATTTATAGACATACAGGTAATATGAAAAAGAATTATGAATTTTACTCATGCTGGAACATTTACATATAACTGATAATATAAATTTATATTCATAGCAGCCTTAAAGTAAAATAAATCCATTATTGAGGAAATAAACTAAATTAATATGTGATAAGGTTACAAACATATACTTTCCCGGATAAGCAATAGCTTATTCCTATTCTTAATAACCTAAAGAATCATTTTCAATCTCAGAAAGTCTTATTTAGAACATGCAATGTTATTATTTTCAGAGAAGGTGTAGCGCTCTCACTGCCTGATGAGGGACAATAATGTTAATAAAACCCAGGAAACACAGAACTGCTGCTGCTTCACATCAGAGTCTGTGTAATGTTTGAGCAGCAAGCCCCTCCCACTTATTAGGTATGCAGTCCACAGGCAGAAGTAGCCGATCGGAAAAATGTAAATCCTTGCATCACATTACATTCATTTACAATATTTATTTTCTATTTTCTACTTTATAAAACGTAAGTGTACAGACTTAGAAAGACAAATTAACTTTGATTTTTAATTTCTAATAGTTTGTAACCACGTCAAAGGCTACCGTTCATTTATAGTTAAACCGGAACTAAAAATACACAACTCGCACTACACTCGATGCGTCACACACGGGCCACATCTGGCCCACATACAGCAGGCCACAACTCACACTACACCCGGTATGTCACACACGGGCCATATCTGGCCCACATACGGTAGGCCAGAACTCACACTACACCCGGTGTGTCACACACGGGCCATATCTGGCCCACATTTGGTAGGCCACAACTCCCACTACACCCGGGGTGTCACAGACGGGCCACATCTGGCCCACATACAGCAGGCCAGAACTCACACTACACCCGGGGTGACACATATGGGCCACATCTGGCCCACATACAGCAGGCCACAACTCACACTACACCCGGGGTGTCACACACGGGCCTCATCTGGCCCACATACAGCAGGCCAGAACTCACACTACACCCGGGGTGACACATATGGGCCACATCTGGCCCACATACAGCAGGCCACAACTCATACTACACCCGGGGTGTCACACACGGGCCTCATCTGGCCCACATACAGCAGGCCAGAACTCACACTACACCCGGGGTGTCACACACGGGCCACATCTGGCCCACATACAGCAGGCCACAACTCACACTACACCCGGGGTGTCACACACGGGCCACATCTGGCCCACATGCGGCAGGCCACAACTCACACTACACCCGGTGTGACACATATGGGCCAGATGTGGCCCATATGTCTCCTGCCATTGCCAGAAGTGAGCCATATGTGCCTTAGTTGGCCCAGATGTGGCCCAGAACTGTATGCTATCTGGGGTTCAATCGCATTCGGTGTCGTTTGACCGCTGAACCGAACCAGTGCAAACGTGATATTGATTAAATAGTAATATTGTTTTTTTGTTCACTTTACCAGCGAAAAAATTACATATATCTGTTTTGAGAATTAATATTGTTTTCTCCTAGAATTCATTTCACACCAACAAGCAGTAGTAGGCTAATGGAGGATGAGAAAAGCCAGATCATATCATAAATATTTCGTTTAATATATCACGAAATGAAGTTTTAACAGTTTTTCATGCGAGAATGTAGTTCTTCCAAACTCAAATCTGTGGTTTGTTTATAGATATCATGCCTAATTTTAAGTGTGCTTTGCCGATAGGGGAGATTCTGACCTCCAGGGGTTGACGGCGCACCATCACTCATGTATCCGGCAAACCTCATGCTTTAATCGGCCTAGACATTATTGAGACATGCCCCTGTCCTCGATGGCTCGATAATAAATGTGTTATGAAATAAAGTTTTAACCGTTTTTCATGTGAGAATGTAGTTGTTTTAAACTCAAGTCTGTGGTTTATGTATTAAAATAGTGTGTATTTTAAAATGTTGTTTTGAAAATGCTGAGATATGGGACCTCTACGGTGTCAGTCATGGGCGCCCAATATTCATGAATCCGTCTAAAGCAGGCAGGTCACTCTGACATTTAAGCTGACTTTGGAATCATTTTGTGTGTTTAACAGTCTTTGGTTACGTGAATCAACTATTTTTGTTTCAATTTACGTTTTGGTTTTGCACAAAGTTATGTTTATTGAATATTATTTAATATTTCTGTGTTACCTTATAAAATGTAGGTGCAGTGCACCCAAAAATGGAAAACCAGGGGACAGTTTAATGCACTGAACAGTCTGAAGAGACTGGTTAGGTTATTTACTTCACAAAATAATTTGTCAAAAATAAATAAACATAATAATCATAATATATAGTGTGTGTGGAGTTGTTCTAGGTCATTTGCAGTACTGTATTTAGATGCACAGTAACGGATTTTTCCCCAAAATTCATTGTAAAATGTACAGTAACATACTGTTAACCATGTTCACAGTATAGAAAAGTTGAAAATACATTATTATACTGTGAAAACAACAATATATACAGTAACACACTGTGCACAGCTTATACAGTAAAAAACTGTTGAGAAATGCAGTATAATACTGTGAAAACAACAGAAATCGTTTACAGTGTATATATATATATATATATATATATATATATATTTATTTATATATATATATATATATATATATATATATATATATATATATATATATATATATATATATATATATATATATATTTATTTATTTATTTAAATATATTTAAATACACACACACACACACAGGTAGGTCGCATATCTAGTGTGCATTAGACTTTTTCATTGTCTTTTCATTACTGTATTATTGATCGTTAATTAATTTGCAGACTTTCTGATTGCTTTTTTCATTTATATTTTAATAACGAACTTGCACGACGAGCATATTGGCTAAATTATTTATTTATTTATTCGACCACTTCTATCTGCCTTAACTCATATTTTCCTCCTGTGTCGACCTGAACTGGGTGTTTGTCTGTGCGTAATCAAACGCATCAAGGGAGACTGTCTTTGCCTCGGAAACTTGACTTCTCGTGACCAAAGACTGGATTTACTAGCGCCTCTTCAGCCAGCGTGTTGTAGTTAGGAAACATTTCTCCTAAGGCTGTGATCAGAAAGTTTGCTGGGTTCTCTGAATGCCCGGAGCTGGTGCGACAGTCTTCATACCTTCATATAAAACCTTTTAGTATTACATTGTTACTTGATGCATGGTATTACAACCATTTGAATTTATATAACAGCAAACGCAGGCTATAATGTAAACACAAAGTGTAGGCACTGCTTTTAACCTTTAAATAAAAAGCTAACAGCATACATATCCTTTAACAAAAATAATCAAACAAAGGACAAAATAAATAATAATAAACGTTTATTGATTGCAAGAAACAAATAATACTAAAAATAAATTAATTAATTTGTAGTGCACAAGAACATCTATATAAAAACAATAAACCTGACGCTTGGTTGGATCGTATTTTATCTGTTTGTTCTTCATCGTCCACTGCATTACTTCCTCTTTTTTCACCTTTATTATTAATATCTCAACTATTTGGCCGTTTAAAGAAACTTATCACACTCAGCTGCTGTGACATTTTTCCAACTGTACGCAGCATTGAAAAAGAGGAGACAAAACAAGGGCAATAGCCATCAGCTGGACAGGAGTGGGAATTACAGTTAGCTACAAATTACAATAGATCACCCTCAGCATAATCTCTTGAAATGACGGATCACCTGCAGATTTTTCCATCACTGCTGAAAAAAATCTGT